ATAGAAGCTGAGAATTCGTAGCCTTTATTATAACCCCTATGGGGTGCAGGGAGGCCGGCTATCTTTGTCGACGAAACTACTATTGATTTTCCTATTTGTCTCCTATTTTTGAATACAAAGTTTCCTATTTTTACTATTTTCTCAATCCTGAGTTTCCTATTTTTTTGAGCAACAATGCCGCTGGATACCCTGCAGGAGCAACAATCCGATAAAGCTCCACAGCTCCAGCTCTCTCTCCTGGTGCAACTTCCAGCTTCTCTTTATCATGTGATAAGTTTGAATTATCGCGCGATAATTTAAACTTATCGTTTATCGCGTGATAAACTGACTAATTATTGCGCGATAATCGATATCTGAATAATTATCGCGCTATATTTAATCAAAGAAAAAATATGGGTTGTCCTCTATGGATCACCGTATTAAAATACGTTCGGCTTTTAACATATTGCAGATCCGATAGTAAATGTACATGTACTTTCTTTTTATCATCCTAGGACAGGAAGCGGGTCCTGACCCATATGGAGAGAGCTGAGATGGCAAAAGTAAGTTCAGTGAGATATGTATTGTAGTGTGCAGTCGTTGTGCATTTCACTTGATGAAAGGTTGGAAAATCCCAAATTGTTAACTGAGTTTGATAAATGTGCAAGTCGTTACCACTTTGGCACTTTTGACAGGCAGGAGTTCATTTTGAGTTGTAGCGTCGTGATCCCTTTCACGTAGGACGCCCTGGGGGACGTTTGCTCAGGTCTGAGTGAATAACTCCAGTATGCAGACACAAATGATAGATATTATAGTTTTACGAATGCGCAGATTTTACTAGTGAATCCCGGTTAAGGTTGTTATGACATACGCCACTTCCACATTTCCCACAGTGCACCTTATTTGCGCCCCAAAATTCTGCGTAAGCATTGTTTTCAATTTGTCTTGAGACGGTTGTAATACCCAGGAGAAATGAAAAACAAAGGTTATACAAAATTTTGGGGCCAAATAAGATGCATTATGCGAAATGTGGAAGTTACGTATAACAAATAACCGAGAGGGAGGTTTATAGACTGATGGAATTGGCTTTTATCAATTGGCGTGATTTAAAGTTATCCTTTCTTAATTACTGTCTCGTTACTCGATATCTTTTTAATCAGGCGTCCAGAGGCCCTCTACACAAGGCTGCTATCAGTGGACAATACGAGACGGTCAAAATGCTTCTTGAAAGTGGTGAAGATGTGGATCAAAGAGATCAGGTTTTAGTCTTTTCCAGTTTATGTAATTTAGCGAAGACTCAGGCCTGACTTCTCGCTTTCGCTTGGCTTGGGGATTCTTACTTTTTTTCAGTTCTATGTATCTAGAAAAGATACATAGACGTTTTGATTAAAGAATAAGATAATGAAATGAAATCTTGCAGTAGTGTTTCCTTAAAGGTTACTTTTCACTAGCGATGGAATCGGTGTTGTAATCAGTATAGAACTTTACAATCTATTGAAATCACCGTTCTGATTCCGTTTAGGACTCCGTCACTTACGATCAAGTGAAAACTAGGTCGTCGGAGTCGCAAGCAGAAGAGGAAGAACTAAGCCAATCACAAAGCGTGGGAACGTCATTGTGATTGGTTTACCCTTCCGCTTCTGCTTCCGACTCCGACAATCTGGTTTTCAGTTCATCGTAAGCGACGGAGTTTTTAACGGAATCGGAAGAAAATTCCGATTCCGACTCCGATTCCGTCGTTCTTGAGAGTTCGCTTACGATTCCGATTCCGACTCCGTCGCTAGTGAAAACCAACCTTGAATAGTGATTTATCCGGTTGATAACGCTATCCACCTTCAACTGGGTCCAGGACTACAATTACTCGGGTGATCGTAAACTGTGAAGTTATGGAGGAAATGTTGCTAGAACCAATTACGTGCTTGACGTGAAATGTCTGAGGCTAAGCATTGTAGAGAATTTATTTAGTTGTCTGTTTTGTTTGTTTGTTGTTGTTGTTTTTTACTTTCTTACGATAGTAACCAGAGGTCTCATTCAAATGGTTAGCAAATCATTTTATTGTTCGGCTGTATGGAGTAGCATAAGTAAGAAGAACTTTGGAAAACTTCAACTTGTTCAGAACAATGCCTGCAGAATCATAGCTGGTTTAATGTTTCAGAAGCCCTGAAGTCCCTGAAATAGCTTAACGTAAGGGGTAAGAAGTTAAGTTCATTGACGGTGTTTTCCTCATGTAAAGAAATCAGGTCTCTGAATTAAATAAAAGAATTGGTCTAGACTAACTACCAATTTCTGTTAGAAAGTGACCTGCAAACATTGCATTTGGGCTCAGTTAGAGTGTTCCACTTGGTTTGTTTCAGATAAACTAAAGAGGATAAAGTAAAGACGTTTTGGCTTTATTCTTAGCTTGGTCGTAAAAATTAGTCCAATAACAGCCTCTAAGTTTATTTTGCAAGGCCATCGTTATAAACGGAACTAGCTGGCCTCTTTCAACGGTACTTAACTGCGTTGGTTTTTCCTATTTTCGGTAGTTTTTTCTGACCCCTCTTCATCTTGCCTGTTAGTCCAGGCATTTTATCACGAAAAGTCGGTCAACCTGCCACTAATTGCAAAAGAAGGTTTTTTAACGGTTTTTGGTCCGGGAACATGTCCTCTATAACATATCAAAAGTCCCCGAAAATCCGAGTAGGGGAAGTTGACAAAAATCGAGTTTTTTAAGAGCCCTACATAGACTAATACTGCGCAGCATGGAAACGAGGTTGTATGTACTGCCTGTTGTGTTGCTCGAGTTTGAAGCCCCCTACAGCATGAGCTAGTAAAGACTGAGAGAATTTATTGTGTTTTCTTCCTAAGTAAGTGCATCTATGTAACGATTAAATAAAACAACTGTTCTGTGTAAGATTCTTAAAACAGAAAAAACACGTAAAACCTGTTGAAAATATCCACGATTGTTAGCTATCTAGGTGAAGTATTTAGCGAGGAATTCTGTCTTCCTCAAGCGAATTTAGAACTTTAAAATGATAACTTTAAACTGGTCTGAAAGTAAAAGTAATATCGTGTTCTAAGGTAATATAATTCAAGAAAAAAAATATTTGACTTGGGTGTCTTGAGTAGAGACTTCCAAAATGAACTGATTATTCACCTCGGTGAAGAAACCTGTGTACTTTACTCATCGCTTCGCGCTTACTTTTTTCGGGAGTCACAAAACTTAGTGTATTAGTAGATTCATCTATTTTTTTTCTTCAAAATTTTAAAAAAAAAGTCTAGGAATCGTATCAACTTTTATGAAACTGGCGACCATTTTCGCTAAAGCCGAAGGAAATGCTTTCACTGACTTATGAAGTAATAAATAAAGCGCGCGCCCTGCAATGCCAAAGTTCCGGTTCAAGTTGAAAATTACAAAGTCAATGGAAATTCCAATACGCACATCCGCGTTTCGATTTTAAAAAGAAAATTACGGGATTGAAGGTATCCTAACTATACCGAAAAGAAAGTTTTTCTTATGACTCAACCAGTCTCAAATTACGCGGGTAATACGATACAAACTTTAATTGGCACTCCCTAAAGGAGGGCTTTTCAGTGACAATGATAATCACTGACGTTGAGAGTACGGTAAATCTAAAAATTACAAAATTACAATAATAAAATGTTTAAGAGAAAAATTAAGAAAGCTAAAAAGTAAATAAATATTCTGTAGAATTACAACTGCAACAAAAACTTTAGAAAATACAATGATACAATTTAATATGATACTAATATAATACAAGATAATAAGATACAAAGACTGATAAGATAGGAAAGCAGCAAATAATTCGGCTCTAAGTTTACGCTTTAAATTACGTGCAGAGTTACAGAGTTTGAGGAATTTATCTAAATTGTTCCACAGACTTACTATACCGTAAAAGAATGTCCTTTGTCCAGATTTACGGTTTTAAATAAGGGTATATGCAGAAGTTGGGAGCTTCTGGAAACGTCTATGAGGGGTAAGTAGGAGCGGAGCCAGTCATACTTAAAAGCAAGCACGGCGTCACGGAGGTATAGCTGAGATTTCATAGGTAGCCAATGTAGTTCTTTCAGAAGCGGAGTAACATGGTCAAATTTTCTGGAAACACAGATAATCCGGACTGCAAAGTTCTGGACCGCTTGGAGCTTGAGAAGGTTAGTGTCCGCTGCATTGGACCAGGCGGAAGAGCAGTAAAACAACTTACTAAACACTAACGTGTTCACCCCGGGTGAATTATTGTGGTTGAAGTCAATCTGTCCAACACGTGCTAAACACGATTAAGTTGAGCTTAACTTGAGAAGCACGGAAGAAACTGTTTTAACAATATGCTCGTGAAGTAAGGCTCGAGATCAAGTATTTTCTGTCGCAACGGACTTGCCGCCTGCCCCAGAATCGCTTCTTTAATTAATCAGATGCAACTGTTAGTCTGACTGTAGGCTAGCAGTATGAGGTGTATCTGTCGCAAGAATGCTGAATGGTATACAGTGTTCCCCGGCCCGTAAAGGGGTCTTCGCGCACAAATTTTTCGAACACTGTAGACTACGAAAGACTAGCATATTTAAAAATTAATTTTGTATAAGGCACATGTAGAATGGAATTAAAGAGGGGTTTTCTGGTGATTATATAGGACTTTTTTGTCTCGTAGTGTTTCAGCAAAATCAGATCTCACTGCTGGGCAGTACATAGATTCTAAAAATCCTTAACATTTTACTTATTCAAATGATACATTTTGGGGAAATTTTTTCACGATTAAAGCCTTAAAAAAATTTTTTCTTAAGAATATATTCTTAGTTTTGACGAAATGGCTCGATTTATATCAATAACAAAAGCTAAACACTAACTTCCGGTTTACAGCCTCGTTTTCATGCTATGGGAAAAAGGGACTCATGTTAAAGAGTCCAGTTTGGAGGTGTTCCCATGCTTGGATCTTTAGGGACTTTTAGTATGTTCATGTATGGGATATTTCTAACTGGTCAATGATGAGAAAGCTTCTTTTGCAATTAGTTACAGGTCCGACGACAAAATGCCTGGACTATGTTGGTACGGACAGAAGTCTGTTGTTAAACTTTTGTTGAAGCATGGTGCAAACGTCAACGCTGAAGACAGGGTGAGTTAGTAAACGTTTTATACATTGTAAATCAAACAATATATTGCCGTGAGAACATGAACGCCTACGGTCAACGTAATAGACCAATTCCGATATATTAAAATTCATACTTGGCTGCGAGGATTGGGGAAAAAAAACAAAAGAAACCATCTTGAGGCTCCGCAATGAATAATACATTTCTTTTGTTTTATTCCCACAAGCCTCAGAACCAAGTATGAATTTTAATATATCGAAAATGGTCCATTTACTACAACTAGCGAACAACCACGGGACCTTAGGCTTTTGCGAACATCTTATTATGCACTTCCTGCAAGGATTTTCAGAGATCTTTTTACAACAATGATCGAAGTACGTTAGCAAGACTGCTTTTTGTGCAGTAGTTTGCAAGTATAGAACAGAAGCAATGAGCTATGAATACCCCCTAATGTGATTGTGAATTAGAGATAAACCACCATACCGGGGACTACTTCCCCTTACTCTTAGTTTTCTAGCGTCGCACAGAATTTAGTATGTGTGTGTGTGTGAGGGTTGTGAGACGAAGCTGAAGGTTTATCGTCCTTGTCCGAGAAGACTAGCCGTTTTCTAAAAAAAAAATTGTGGTAAAGGCTGAAATCCGATTTGCAGCTAAAACTATTTTTATGTCATTGTCAAGTGATATATATTCCGATCGCCCAAAAATAATATCATGATAAAGTTTAGTTTATGTGTAATACATATGTTATAATAGCCTGGGACCAGGCTTTGAAGTGGGGTAAAAAAAGGAAAAAAACTCGACCAGTGAAGCGGACGAGGGAGTCAGGGGAGGGATGAAGATGACGGAGCTCCGCCGCCTTCCCCCTCCTCAGTCCACCACTCGGCTCGCTTCGCTCGCCGATTTTTTTCCTGTATTATGTCGTTTTTTGCCTTTTCCCCCTACTACGGAGCCTGGTCCCAGGCTAATGTTAGGGACCGTTCATTTTTTACTAGGTAGGGGGGGCTGGTGGAATTTTTTGAACCCCCATTACGAATTACCATGGCCCCCCCACTCAGTCCTCATTTTTTCTCATGGTACCCCCCAAAGACGGTCATTTTTTGGGGGTGACCCCCCCTCCTTTGAAAAGAGACATCATCGTAATTAAACCTGACATGCATATATTTGCAGTGTACAATGTGATTTGTATTTTCTGTTCAATGTCAAGCTGTTGACAACTCATTCTACAGATGTAGCAGCCACTTCTGTTAATTCAAAAAGTAAATTCTGTCCATTTGCTAAGGCACTTCTTCACTATTTTTCAAACATAAAAAAAATATAGAGAATCAAAAGAAAGAAAAGTCAATTTCCGATCTTCGGTTTATGGATCTTCCAGAGCGTGTCGTTGCTGGCCTCTCAACTTCTTCCTCGTCATCGATAAAGGATAGGATGACATCTTCACCCCCAGAGTTGATGGAATTAAAAACTTGCAAGAGGTGACAGGTCGCACATCTTCACCGGCGTGAAGCCTTTGAAAGCCTTTTACATATTGCTCCATTGAGGAGAACTCTTTTAGGGATCTTACAGTTTGAAATTTGAACGATGGTAGAGCTTCTTTATAGCGGTTCAAGATACGGCTCGGTACAGTTTATGTTCAGCAAGGAAAACTGTGTAAGTTGAGCAGAACCTTTAAAATGTGCAACAGACAATTTATTCAGTTCGCGCGTATTCCTGTTGAATTTGTTGCCCGTTTATGAGATTTGTCTACTCAAAAATATAATAATTTTTCCATAGCTGCTGTTATCTTCGGGTATCTGGTTTTAATATCTCCGTAAAGTTTAGGTTTACGCGATCTCAGAGAACAATGTTCAGCTGTCCACAGCACGTAGCCTTTAAATATATCCAGATCTAACACTGGTTTTGTGTATTTATCACGTCTTTAGTAGAAGCGTGATTTAAATACATTATGATGCTGTCTCCTTTGAATGTCGCTTTGAAACTCAATCGCTTTGTAAATGTGACTAGTAGTTTTAATATCAGAGGAGAGTATTTTAAAGCTCGATATTTTTCAATGCCATTAGCATGTTGTTTTTTTACCAATCAACTCTCTCGCTCCGTAGGGCGGGAAGGAGAGAACCCTGGGAACGAGGTTGTCAATTGACTGGCTTTTTTGTGCCACTACATAATGTCTGCAGTTAAATATAGGTTTACAAGCAAGACCGGCGGTTTCGAATCTTACAATTCTCATCAGTTGCTATGTGGTGGGATGGTTTAGGTGAATTCTGGACCATTCCGTATTGCTTGATTTGGTAGGCGTTTATGATCCACCTGGTTTGTTTGGAGGGTCGAAAATGGTGCGGTTTGATTGGTTCCTTGCAAAAAAACAATCAAAATGAGAAAGAATGGCGAAAGCGACCAGTCTTTCAAGAATAGGTTCACTGCTGAAAGATCGCGGCAATTTGATCTTTTGCAATCAAAAGAGGTTGCCGACCAAAATGCAGACGGCTGCTCGAAAAGGGCATGTGAATTTCTCAAGCCAGGATATAATCAGCTTAAGCCCAGTGATGGCAGGAGATTGAACTCTTCGATTAAAGAGCACCAAAGTATGCTTGGGAAGCTGAAAAGCGTAGTGAAAGCCTTGAAAGAACATGATTCTACGCTTTTCCAGTCTAATGGGCTTATCTTGAAGCAAGGAGAAGAATTTGCTCACGACTTCAATGTAAGGTAGATCAAGTGCGTCGAGGCTAAGGTACAAAAGGTAACGCGGGATACAGAGACACTAGAAGAAAGTAAAGACAGTTTTCGTAGCATTTTCAAGGGCCTACATAGAGACCGTATCAGCAAGGGAAGAAGAAAAAAAGAAAACCGTCGCCAATCGAATGCAAGAAAAAAGAAAACGTTTGAAAACAACGTCCAACGAGTGTATAGTAGTATTTGTGTGGTTTCCTCCACACATGTCCAATATGCACAAACGGATACGATTCGTCAAACTGATGGTCCATTGGTACCAATGGTACGATTGGTACCAATAGAAAAGCACCCTATTCCAATGGTTCTGTTGGTGCATATGCATCTAATTAAGGAGACTTAGATTATTTTCCCATGTGACCTGGTTGGGTAAAGGGCAGTTCCAATGGTCCATTGGTACCAATGGTACGATTGGTACCAATGGAAAAGCACCCTATTCCAATGGTTCTATTGGTGAATATGCATCTCATAAAGGGGACTTAGATTATTTTCCCATGTGACCTGGCTGGGTACAGGGCAATTCCGATGGTCCATTGGTACCAATGGTGCGATTGGTACCAATGGAAAATGATGCCATTCCAATGGTTCTATTGGTGCAAAACAAGTTCACGTTTACACCAAGTGAAAACACGCTAATAATTATTATGAACGTTCCTCGTTCTATAAGAAAACCACGCAAAACAAGTTCGCTTTTACATCAAGTAAAAGCGCGCTATAACTCTGATGAATATTCCTCGTTCTATATCCCAATCACGCAAAACAAGTTCGCTTTTACACCAAGTAAAAGCGCGCTATATTCCTCGTTCAATCAGCCAACCATGCAAAACAAGTTCGCTTTTACACCAAGTAAAAACGCGCTAATAATTATTATGAATATTCCTCGTTCTATAAGCCAACCATGCAAAACAAGTTCGCTTTTACACCAAGTAAAAACGCGCTAATAATTATTATGAATATTCCTCGTTCTATAAGCCAACCATGCAAAACAAGTTCGCTTTTACACCAAGTAAAAACGCGCTAATAATTATTATGAATATTCCTCGTTCTATAAGCCAACCATGCAAAACAAGTTCGCTTTTGCACCAAGTAAAAACGCGCTAATAATTATTATGAATATTCCTCATTCTATAAGCCAACCACGCAAAACGAGTTCGCTTTTACACCAAGTAAAAACGCGCTAATAATTATTATGAATATTCCTCATTCTATAAGCCAACCATGCAAAACAAGTTCGCTTTTACACCAAGTAAAAACGCGCTAATAATTCTTATGAATATTCCTTGTTCTATAAGCCAGCCACACAAAACAAGTTAAAACGAGTTCGCTTTTACACCAAGTAAAAACGCGCTAATAATTATTATGAATATTCCTCGTTCTATAAGCCAACCACGCAAAACAAGTTCGCTTTTACACCAAGTAAAAGCGTGCTATAATTCTTATGAATATTCCTTGTTCTATAAGCCAGCCACACAAAACAAGTTAAAACGAGTTCGCTTTTACACCAAGTAAAAACGCGCTAATAATTATTATGAATATTCCTCATTTTATAAGCCAACCACGCAAAACAAGTTCGCTGTTACACCAATTAAAAACGCGCCATAATTCTTATGAATATTCCTCGTTCTATTGGCTAACCAGGCAAAACAAGTTCGCTTTCACACAAAGTAGAAACGCACTAATAGTTACAAAGCGAGGGCGACCTATATATCTAGCACTAATAATATCTCAAGGTGCTGCGAGTATAACAAACATCGTACGAACATTAAAATTGAAAGGTAACTCGTCACTGTCGTGTTCGTTCTGTTTATTGTGATTCACGAGCAAACAACAACATGACATATGAATGTCTTCTTTCCTGTACGCAAGCACTATTTTTAAAAAGAACCCGAATCAACGCGGAAAGGCGCGAAACTAGCAAAGTGGTATTGAGGCAACAGGTCTTAACAACTGTACTCAACTCACTGTGAAATTAACTTCTGAAATTTCTTAGCGCAATTTCATTATCTACATGGAAGCGTTTAAACCTTAACAAGTTTTCAATGAGGAGTTTCCGAAAAGGGTGGTTATATCATGCTGTTGGTTATGACTTTGTATTGTATTTGGTGGCTCCTAGGAGAGCCGTTTTATATTCAAGTGACTGAGTCACTTTTGACTGTTGACGTGGGGTTTGCCTTGGTAACCCATTGAGGTACACCAGTTTGCTATAATCAACGTCGTAGTAAAACCATTGATGTATTTAATGTCAACGTTGTCGTTGACAAATTGTATTTGCCGTGCTCTTTTCTCGGCTGTAGCTTGCGATGAGGCCCAGGACTGAGCTAGAAGAATCCATCTACTGTTAATGAGATGCATATTCACCAATAGAACCATTGGAATAGGATGCTTTTCTCTTGGTACCAATCGTACCATTGGTACCAATGGAGACCCTTCTTATCACCACTAACACCAATGGAGTCTATTTGTGAGTATTGGACAACCCTCCGGAAACCCACTAGGTAATGATCTTCCGAAATGTCTTCTGTATCCTCCTTGCCTTGCCGTCCCTGAAGGGTGCATCGACGTTGAAAAAGTTTGCGAATTGCCTTTTGATCGAGATGCGGCATACATTGCACAGCTCTTGCAAGGAAACCATTTCAGCAACGCCGTAGGAAGCAGAATTATCATAAACCTCAAGCCGGAGGTTAGAGATAACGTGTACTGCTTCATGTACCCTGAAGAGTATGCTATGACTGAAAACGACGAAAGTGACTCTAGCAGCAGCACGAGCGATGAGGAAGAGCTTGGCAATGATGACGAAGAGGAACATGAGCAGAGAGACGTTGCACAGCACTAACCTGATAAAGAATCTTTTAATGATAGTTTCCTAGCTTTGAAAATTGTTGTGGTGGAACTGAACGCTGTCATGTAAACGCAGAACAAAAGTTTTTGATACATTTATATACCTTTTGCTTGTTTCTGTATATGTAGTCTTATTTAATAATAAAACATCATGTCAACTCTACATGAACTAAAATATTTCGCGTGACCCCCCCCTTCCCTCCGTTTTTTTCGGGATGGCCCCCCTTTTACGCCGTTTTTTTGGGGTGCCCCCCCCAAAATCCCACCAGCCCCCCTTGCCTCGTAAAAAATGAACGGTCCCTTATAATGGTTTTACAAACAAGATTAGTTTAAATACAAGAGACTCAAAAATGGAAGATGTACCTGCAAAAATACTGGTTCCAGGCACCTTAATGCAGGTTTCCTTGTGGTGGTGGCTACCTTATGTAGACATACCCTAAATGACCAAATAAACGCTCGGTGCGTCTTTTTAATTTTAGGGGTCCAAACTGTAACAAGCTCAACAAAACTCATCTGCTTTCGGCGAAAATATCAAAAGAGTTTAAAAATACCGGAATATCTACTCCATCGTTAGTCTATCCTGACGTCAAACTTGACATTGAACAAAATGAAATACGCAAAGCCTCGTTAATCAAGCAAGAAACTGAATAATTTAAATCATTTGGCACCTTCTTGCTAATTCCTAGTACTTTGGAGTCATTCTCACAGGGGGCGTCTATTAGACAGGGGGCGTTTATTAGAGAGGGGCGTCTAATTTAATTTTAACATCATAGAGCCTGACTCGTCCCCAGTCGTCTCTTATCATTAATTTTGTAGGCGATCATGGAACGGTCTCGGAAGACTATTACGGCACTTCTGTCCCCGCGCACATCTTCCACGCGCATCCCTCGTTAATATTTAAAATTAATAGACAAAAGAGACGACTGGGGACGAGTAAGGCGTAGAGGGGGCGTTTATTATATAAGAGGCGCTTATTTGGAAGTGGGCGTTTATTACGTCATTTACGGTACCGGTAGTTAGAATATTCTCCTTGGTAAATAGCAACTGGTAAGTAATGCGTATTACCCTACTTGCGATGTTTTTAGTTTCAAGGTACACCTCTGCAAAAAGCTGAACGTCAAAACCACCACTTCATAATGCAGTTGCTGCGGAAGAATGATGCCAGACCAAGTCTTCATCAACCAGTAAGATATCAGATTGTATGTACTTTTTGCCAACCTTGTCTTTCAGATGAAATTCGCTTATATTTGTTGTACTCTTTGTTGAATATTTGGAACGTTACTGTAGGACCTATTCATCGTCGTATGAGCTTTTATCCTACCTTATATCGCGAAGACCTTATATTTGTTCTTCTCTACAGGAACATTATTTATATTCCCTCGGTTACGCCCTTCCGGGGATCACTTTATAGTGAATTTACTGTGAGCTTACTGTAAAACAAACCCATTGATAGTGGACACCAGCAAAGGTCGCGTGTGTGTCCGGTTAATACCAGTTTCATCGTACATTTTATTTCTTAGTTATTAATGTTTATGGTTCTGGCGTTTCGTCCTACACACGCGCTCTTAATAAATGGTTATGAACACACTGGGGAAATATGCTGCAATTGCATGGATGGGAAGAAGACTACTCTATTCGATAGTCAGTTGCTTGCTGAAGCATTTAACAAGAAAAATTAAACTAAAAACGTTACTCGACGTTTCAATGTATCACACATCATTATCAGGCGTAAGAAATGTTAAGTTTCAAACACTATTGCTTGGAAAGTGCATCTTAACTGTAACTATTAGACTTACAAGTAAATCCGTACCCCCACCACAGGGGCACCCAACGAGGGTTTTCTGTGAATTATCTGTTCAGAGAAGCAAATATTGTCCACCACAGAAAATACCATAACATACCATAAAATGGCCCCAAGAGAAACTAAAAACTATGCTTATAAAAATTTTGGAGTGACCAACAAAGAGTATTATGGTATGTTGTGGTATTTTCTGTAGTGGTCAATTGCCTGGAATTTTCTTTTGCTTGAGGATGTCTAGAAATTTCTAGATGACCGTTCCATTCAGGTACAATTTTCGAACCTTTAATAATTATCTAATCCCGGCTTGGTAGAGAAAATAATAGGGGAACCTTGTAAAAATGGAAAAGGCAATCCCTCCCTCCCCGACCCACTAAACAACGTTGTCCCGCTGATCAAATGCAAGTTACCTCAGAAAACAATAAACAAGTCAACATTGGTCGGGAGGGTGGAGGAAGGTCCGGCATTAGAGATAAGGGAAAGTTAGCGAGACGCAAAACCACAAACTAATGACTGTTGCTACTTGCAGAACTTTTCCCACACTTCGTTGGCTTCTTCCCTCGACACATACCACTGCAGAAGTAATTTTGGCGTTGATAGTTTTCTAAGAATAATAATAATAATAATAATAATAAATAAAATTTGTAACGCCCTGGTTCCATACAAATTTTCTGAATTGATTATTATTAACAAAATTGGGCGAAAAGCTCACTTTTCTGCTTTTAAATGGCTTGCCCTTTTGTCACTGATGACGCCATATACTGTAGCGATGGTAACACCATCACATTTTGTGTAAAATGTGTATATTTGCAGTGGAACCCCGGTAATGTATCATCTGCAATAAGAATAGTTAAAAAGTAATGCCAAATGAATTCCCTCTTGATTATTTTCGCTCATAAACGTGATCATTTCCATTATAGGTCAGTCTAAAGAATCTCTCAAGACAAGCTTTCTTGCAAGTCGATGAACGATCTGGATTTAATCTTCTCCAGGCGGCTGTCTTAGAGGGAAAATACGACATTGTCTTAAAAGCTAATGGCCTTCTTGAGAATTTTTTAGAAGAGATGGAACATAGAAAAACTGGAAATAACGCCAAAGGATTTCCAGGGAAAACTGCGGTTGACATCTTATCACTTGTGTTGGGAACAAAATCAAGTCATTATAGCATCAAAAGATTTTATAAAAACTGGGCTGAAAACAACAGCAGACTGACTGAGCTGCAGTGGGGTACATGCAATAACGATGTGGAACAGGCAGTGGACTTTGTATTAAGTGACAGTGTAGATATTAATGCCCGAGCGTCAGAAAATGATTACACAGCTTTGTTGTGGGCGAGTTGTTCATCATCAAGTCAGTTTATTGAGACCCTCATTGATCTAGGGGCCGACGTTAATGCCCAAAGGAAAGATGACAAAGTTACACCTCTAATATTAGCAATTGAATGGAACAACTACATTGCAGCGTGCTTGCTTTTAAGGCATGGAGCTGATGTAGATGTCCAGGGTGGTGATGGGTTCACACCCCTGCACTTTTCAGTCAATAAAAGTCACGAAAACGTCATCAGATTGTTGATTGAACACAACGCGGATGTAAATATTCAAGATACATGGGGATATACACCCTTGCACTTGTGTGCCAAAGAGGGTAAGGAAAACCTCTGTAGATTGTTACTTGAACACAACGCGAATGTAAATATTCAAGATACATGGGGATATACACCCTTGTTCCTGTGTGTTAGAGAGGGTAATGAAAACCTCTGTAGATTGTTACTTGAACACAACGCGGATGTAAATATTGGAGAAAAAGATGGAGGTACACCCTTGCACCTGTGTGTCAGAGAGGGTAACGAAAACCTCTGTAGATTGTTACTTGAACACAACGCGGATGTAAATATTCAAGATACATGGGGATATACACCCTTGCACTTGTGTGCCAGAGAGGGTAACGAAAATCTCTGTAGATTGTTACTTGAACACAACGCGGATGTAAATATTCAAGATACATGGGGATATACACCCTTGCACTTGTGTGCCAGAAAGGGTAACGAACACCTCTGTAGATTGTTACTTGAACACAACGCGGATGTAAATATTCAAGATACATGGGGATATACACCCTTGCACTTGTGGGCCAGAAAAGGGAACGAAAACCTCTGTAGAATGTTACTTGAACACAACGCGGATGTAAATATTCAATATAAAGATGGATATACACCCTTGCACCTGTGTGTCAGAGAGGGTAACGAAAACCTCTGTAGATTGTTACTTAAACACAACGCGGATGTAAATATTCGAGATAAAGAAGGAGATACACCCTTGCACCTGTGTGTCAGACAGGGTAATGAAAACCTCTGTAGATGGTTACTTGAACACAACACGGATGTAAATATTCAAGATACATGGGGATATACTCCCTTTATATACTTTGAATTTGTAGATCAGTTTTAAGAACAGTCAACTCCCTTTATATAGCGGACACCGTAGGGAACTCTGGTTAGTCACGGTCGACCTTATTAGTGAGAGGAGTTTATTTTAGTCAGACATCTGTAAATTTATTTTTGCATGGGATTTAGTTGCTGTCCGTATTATCGGGGTGTCTGTTATTGCGGGAGTCCACAAAGCTAGAGTTGACTTATTAGAATTTTTGAAAGCCTCAATAGCACACGATGAAGCGTTATAAGATCTTGTCTTAGATGTCCCAGACGATCGCGCCATTGAGCGGTGACACTAAACCGTTAGCCTTGTCTTCTTCATCCTTTCTTATCAATTGAAAGGGACAACGTAAAAGAATCCCCATCTGTATTCGAAAAAAGTAGAAAAAGCAGACCCCACCGGTGGTGGGGTCTCTCTCTCACGTAGAGACTCCCCTCCCCTCAGGAAAAATCGGATGGAAAAAATCGGAGAAATCAGGAAAAATCGGAGGGTGTTATCCGTCGGCCGAGGCGGATAACACCCTCCGAGATCTCCATAACTCTTCATATGATACGAAAGCCGAATTCAATAATTGTTTTATTATTCATTCAAAATAATTCCTAGTTGAAAAACATGCTTACCTCCATCGATCCATCGATGTTAAGTTCATCTTCGATAGTGCACATTTAGGGTTGTTCAGCTCCGCAAATATTCTCCAAATAGAAGATGTTGCCCTTCGAGTTGTCTTCTTGCTGTTCTTGCCATGTTTTTAGCTATGATTTCGCCTAGTTCTTACTCTTGAAACGTGAAATGTCTGCCATTTTTTGTTTTCACAACCAAAACAACTCAACCTCGTCCCCAGGTCTTCTCGGTTAAAGGTTCAGTAACCTGCAAGAACGCTGCAGTTTTGACGTCACTTCCTCGTTAAACACAAAATTCTTCCAAATTTGGTCATCAGTGACTGGTTATGGTGAATTATGCGTGTGCTTTTAGCCAATCAGAATCGGGGAAATATTTTGAATGAATAATAAATAATGTTATAGCGGCACTATTTTATGAACTTCGTGTTAGAAAAAATACCGATAAGATCATTTTTATGCCGTCAAAATCATCTTGCCCGGTTAATTAGACATCGAACCAAAAATTATTGCTATTTTTACTAGATTCGATCTGGGTTTGGCGCTTTTTAATAACCGTGGGCTATTTGATTGTAACAAGCTATTGAGTTTCGGGGTTTATGACGACTTTCAAAGTGCTCCAAGAGGAAAGCAAATTCGTAAACCACCGACGACTTCTATCTCCAGGTATTCAGACATCTAAGCGCATTTTCCAAAAAGTTTTATTTGCAGAGATTTTATTTACCGTTAAGTTGACACCTCTGCTAAACAGCCTCCTCAGGCGCTTCGTTTTTCGCATGGCAGAGGCGAGCGCGAAACGAGTGACTGGTGATGAACCGCAAGGGACCATGGGAAGGGTACAGACGGCTTCCCGCCTTCCTTTGCGCGCACGTTTGAAAGAGAGACGTCTGGGTGCGAGGCAGTCTGCTAAATATGTTGACACGGAGAAACGATGCACGAAATGATAAGTTAACCGCAACGGTAACAAAGCCGTTTTGGTTTTTAATTACAACTAACTTTTTTTGTAGGCTTTCAGGAAGTTCAGCAAAATCAGCAGCGATTGGTAACTGTCAACAGTGAAGCAGCAACCCTACTTTTGCTTAGCGTTTTCATCTCTCTCTAAATATCGTTTGACCGCCGGGAAACCGGCGGGAAACCACCCTCCCTTTCTCCGACGTTGCAGCTGTAGCTAGAGCTGGAAGTCTTCGTCCGTGGCAGGCAAAGTCGAGCATCCACAATTTTATTATCTTTTGCCACTGAAGGGACTTTCAAGAATATTTAGAATAGATGAATAAAGTATTATAACATAACAAAGGTAAATCGCGCGCTCTGATTGGTCAGTTAGCCACTACCATTTGCCCTTGGGTGCACGCCAAGAAACTGAGCTAGCGCGGAAAAAGTTAGGCAAATTCAACAAATCTCCTCTCCTGACGGTAAAATACACCGATGAAATGCACAGATGAACAGTGGAAGTTGAAGAAAATACTAAGCTGTCGTTTTGAAGGACAAAAGATCAAGCGACAAATTTGCCCTGGATGAGTTAATCACTGTTTTCAGTCCTCGCGGCTAGAATCGGCTGAAGGAAAATCGAGCGAGCGAAGATTTAAGGTACATTTTGTGTGTTTTTTATAGAACAGAAAGTCTGTTTGAAATGTAAATTTATCAATTAGCATTGTGTTCTTGAATTTTTGGTCAAGCTGATGCTAAATTCAAGCAAATATTTTAGGAAACACGCTCAAATTCGAAACAGCTTTGTTGTGAAGTTTTCATCGCATCGATTAAAAATTTTAGTTGAGTTTAAACGGGCACTTACGCTGGAATAAGCTAATTTCATTTGAGTACAGAAACATTTGGGTTTTCAATTAAATTTTTGAAAAAATTACTTCTGTGTGTATTATTTTGTTCCTCAGTGTTCATTCATAACAGTCGTTCAGAGAACCGTCGAAAAACAACAGCTTCAGCGCCGGCTGTGTGTCGGCGAATATCAGTTGCAACTTTGACTTTCATAGCTGGATTTCCCCAGACAGATTTCGATACAAAGCTAGTTAATTTCTTTTTAAAATTAGTGTTACCTGTTATTGTAAAGGAATTACAGTCAAATTTTCTCATTTCTACTTTACGTTTATTTCAAAAAATTGTCACATAAATGGCATTATTTAGTTTTAGCTTAATTTTTAGGGTCTCTTTAGTTGGTGTTTATAGTTGCAGCTATAGTTTTTCCGATTTTTTTTTCCCCTAATATTAAGAGCAAGTAGACAGATGCCATTCAGAATAACAACGAAAAACGTTTTGCAATTTACCTGAAGACGAAGAACGATTGATTCAGCGAAAGAAAAACTCAAAGGCAAGTTTTTGAAAAACATAGAACATGATTTGTTTACGCGCGGGCAGATGGCAGCATACATGAACGTAACGATGACTCAATTACCGAAGGCAAATGGAAAAAAAAGAAGTAGGGCGCGTGCTTGCCCTATATAAGTCTTATTGAGCCCCTATGAACAAAATGTTTATTTAATTTCATGAGGACGTGTTCAGCTGTGTTTTTCGTCTATTTTCCAAGTGCTAAGTTCCCAAAACTCGACGGTAATGATGAAAAACGTTCTAGCATTTTTGGAATTTAGCTTCTTACATACCAAAACCAACAGCAAAGCAGTGAAGATGTTTTGCACAAAATGGAGCCTGGATCTTTGAAAAGTCTGATGGAAAAAGTTTACAAATTGGTCTGTGCCAGGAAATATCCAATTTGCATTAAGTGTCCTCCGTTTTTAACGTTTGTTTATCCTTTAAAAAACAAGCTAATTATAAAGTAAGCTCAATAGCGAAAAATTATGCACTTTTGCTATCGCTAAACAATCCGACTGAAGCAGGAAAATTTCTCTTGCACTAACAAGACAAATTACACAAGAAGACATAAATTTATTACTCACAGAAAAAACGGCTGCTACGTCTTCTCAAAAAGCCGTTATGAACAGCCAATGTTCGTAAATGAAAAGAAAGTAGGATGACAGTGATCTTCGCTAAAAAAAAGTTTTCTGGATTTCGCCGAGCAAAATATAAACATCTTTTCAGGGAATCCAAACCATACTCCTCCTCTTACGAACATGTGAGTATTTTAACTTTAGGTGAACTTTTACCTTTGTTTCTGCTTAGTTTCCATTGATCGTTAACGAATAAAAAAGCAAATTTTCTTTCTCAGTTTTACAGAAAGAATTTTCCTTTCAAACTAGACAATTGTGGCGTGTTTGTAACCAGCCAATAGAGGCGTTTGTTTTTCTGTGTCGGGCTTTACAAGAATTTGCAGTTAATAAAAAGCAAGCATTTTTGTCAGCTATGTTATAAAAGAATTTGCTCATGCTTTTAGCTGTGCGTATATCGAGTTATGGGTGCACTCGGGAAGTTTGGAGAACACTTAAGAAGCTAGAGTTGCTCTCGCCTGCGCCTCGAACAACTCTTACGCATCTTTCGTACTCTCCAAACTTCCCGCGTGCATCCATAACTCGCTATACGCACGCTAAGTATGAACAAATTCTTAAATCAGAATTAAATTCAAATTCAATTTTGGTGCTGCGTCGGTGGTGGGGATTTGCTTTCATCAACTGAGTTGATAAGTTCAATGTGACCATAAAGAGATTTAAAAGCTAACGTTTCGACCCCAGTTTATGAGAGCAGAGGAATGATGGTCTGTGTGTGGTATAACAAGAATAGACCTTATTCACGATACCCGCCACCTTTACCTGATAAAAGCTATCACACGTGGTATTTACAAGTGATAAAATTTGCCAATAGGAGAAATAGCGGTCGAGTTTGTTTATTCCATCAAAACGAGACGACGTTTTCATAGTTACGAGTACATATCGACCTTTGGCAAGATTTACGGCGTCATTACCGTTTGCAGTGAGGACATCTACGGTCGCCACTGCATACAATAAAGTAACGATGATCACTTCCACCCATAATTTGACATTGTCGTCTTTAAGATAAAAAGGTCCTCATTTCCTGTTGTCCAGGATAAACAAACTCAATCGCGATTTCTTCCATTGGCAATGTTTTCCACTTGTTTGCCCCCTGAAAACCACGTGGAATCGCTTTGATCCCATCAGTACTTAAGCGCGTGCTAAGATGGCGGGAACATGAATAAGGTATATTTAGCTGAATGAAGAGCAGTCATTTACTTCATGGGAACTAAGAGTAATGATTTTAAAAAGATGAATTATTGTTCGTGATTTATGCGACTTTTCGTGTTGCACTGGATTGCGAGGTATAGACCTCTTTAACTTGTATGTTTTGTTTTACACACAGAGGTCCCAGGGGAACTAGACACTTTGTCTTTTGTCTAGCTTTTCCAGCGTACATATGCACGTAAACAGGACGAATTTTGTTCTCTAG